TGTCTCCGTGTAGCATTAATGCATTCATTTGGAAACCTAAGTCACAATCATTAAACAACATAACTACACCTTCAGTATCCTTAAGTTCCAGTCCTGCTTCAGAAGTAAACATCTTTTTTTTTCAGTCAGTCACTGATAAAATTCATCAATTTCCTACCTTGGGTGTTAAACTTGTCTGACCCTGTGCTTTTCATCAACTAGTGGGTTATTTAGGTGCTGAAATAAACACTTTTAACTGCTGAGAACTGTGTGGCTAGAACTCAGACAGTGGGATAACACGTGAGGTAGGTTGTCGCTCAGGCTACTATCAGGGTTCTAATTTGAATTTCAGGCAGCTGCTGCAAATGAACCTGTAAAGTAGTAGAGAAGCTTCACATGTAAGCTGCATGTCTGGGATGAAAAGAAATGAGCCGTGTTAGTGAATTCTGTGTGATTGTGACTTCAAACCTTTGCAAATACTGACTTCAATCCCTGTTTTTGTTACAGGTGATAGCAGGGTCAGGTCTGGATGTTGGGTTTATCCTCCTCTCACCCACCGGACATCGGCTAGTCTCTGACTTCAGGAGGTCTGATGGTATCCACATGTGCGTATCTGTTCAGTCTGACATGAGCAGTCTCTCTTGCTCTTTAGTATTTGCATTAAAAAAGTAGTTAAACAAATGTACATAAAGAATGACTCACCAGCTACTACATTAGATACACCTGTTCAAGTTCTTTTTAATGCAAATATTTAATCAGCTAATCACAGGGCAGTAAATGAATGTGTTTAGGCATGTAGGTATGCTCAGGATGACCTGCTGAAGTTCAAAGTAAGCATCATATTGGGGAAGAAACGTTATTTAGGTGACTTTGAATGCAACACTGTTGTTGTTCCCAGATGGGCTGGTCATAGTATTTCAAAAACAGCTGATCTGCTCGGATTTTTGCTTCATTTCAATTCAGTTCTGTTTATATAGCCCCTTCACAACCACTGTCATCTCAAGGTGCTTTATATTGTAGGCTACAAACCCTAAAATAATTTTAAAAAATTAAAAAGCAAGAAAAAAACCTTCACAAACATAAAACCATCTTTAGGGTTTACAGAACATAATGTGTCCATCTTCCAATGGCTGCTTCTAGCAGGATAATATGCCATGATGTCACAAAGCTGTCGAACTGGTTTCTTGAATATGAAAATCAGATCACGGTTCTCAAATGTCCTCCACAGTCACCAGATCTTAATCTAATAGAGTTCCTTTGGGATGTGGTGAAAGGCGAGACTCACATCATGAATGTGTGGCTGACAAATCTGCTGCAATTGTGTGATGCCATCATTTTAATATGAACCAAAATCTCAGAGGATTGTTTACAGCGCCTTGTGGAATCTGTGCCTTGAATTAAGGCACTTCTGGAGGTCAGAAGAAATCATTCTGAAGGCGCCTGTTGTGATTTTTGCTATATAAATCTGAACTGAATTAAAGGGAAGAAGGGCTTATAAAGTCTACCTAATAATGTACATTTTAGCGGACGTTGCGTTTTCAGTAGAAGAAATGTTTCATCACAGTTTTTCGCAGTTGTCCAGATAAACTCTTTTTTGCCCTGATGATTGAACGTGTATCAAGACATATACAATGTGGGAGATTCATATCGATCGGCCACCTGTCTTCAAAATGTTCTTTTTCCTGTAGGGTGGATCCCACAGTTGATGGAGACTACCGGTTATGTTTTGACAACAGCTTCAGTAAAATGTCAGAGAAGATGGTGTTTTTTGAGGTGGTCATTAATAATCAGAACAGCAAAAACGGAGGCCATGATGATTGGTTAGACACTGTAACTTCAGACAGCATGGTGGACTACAAAATGGAAGACATCAGGGTGAGAGCAGAAAATAAAATTATGCATGTCCTGGATCTAAATTTACTCTACAACTGGTTATCATATCAGCGCCATTCTTTTAAATCCACTTAATGTCTTTTTTGTCCCCCTCCAGGCGAGAATGGACTCTGTGCACCGGCACCTGGAGAAAAGCCATCAGGTCCAGGCAATGCTGAGGGCATTTGAGGCGAGAGACCGCTACCTTCTGGAGGACAACTTGTGGCGAGTGTCCTTTTGGTCCTGCGTAAACCTGTCGGTCATGCTCACTGTTGCTGTTGTTCAAATTTACACCCTCCGACGCCTCTTTGTCAACACCAAGCAGGTCCGCACATAACAAAACCATCCTTACCTCCATCGACGAAAGACTAGCAGAAAACACTCAACTGACATGGGAGCTGAATTTAAAGGAATGGTTTACATCATTTTAAAAAGCTGGTTTTTGCACTGGATTTTTTTTTAATTGTCAAAAACTGTTCCCTTTGATGCATTGTGGAAACCACTTTCTGTTTTTGTGTCATCCCTGAAATCACATTTATAGCACAGTAGTGGATGCCTGTAGCACCGGTATTTGTCAAGTTTCATTAGGGAAGCTAGAAAGTCAGCTGTTCTCTCTTGAAAGTTTATTGAATTACAAACACTACATTTGGCACATTTAAAAACTAAGATTATCAAAACACCAAAAAACTAATTATCAGATACCTCACCTCATGAAAGCGCGTGATGAAGCTTTGTAAAAGCTTTAAAAACAAAAAAAAAAACAACAAAATGATGCAAAATAGTAACTGTAATAAAATAAATATTTACAATCATAAAAAGAAAAGTCCCTGATTAGATTTACTATATGACAGTTAAATATTACACAAAACAATACCAGTCAGGTGGCTGGGGAAAAAAGGCATCAGAGTCACTTGTTTCATGCAATTGCACTTTGTGGTACTAAGGTAGAGAAGTCAGTAAAACCAGGTGTCTATTTCTATAACTGTGAGCAGTTACAGACTCTGCCATGAATCATTTTATTGTGGTAATGCTCCACCACTTGAAAGGCATTCTCTCTTTTGCATCACTGAGCAGATACATGAAAAATTATAATACAATTTTCTTGCTGCACTTTGTGAGTTGGCACCATGTCTGGTAATTTAACCCTACTGAAATGATACAAAACAAATGCTCTAAGGTCTTCTGGGGGATTGGGAACAGAGAACTGAAAGTACACCATGAGATTTCAAACCATTTCAGCTTTTTGTGCCTACATTCATTAGTGTAATTTATCCCAAAGAAAGAAAGAAAGAAAGAAAACCCTGAACCATGCCACTCAGTTTGAATTCTTCAGTTAAGCTGCAGGACTGTAACAGTGTTATTGGGAGTGCCTCTTTGTTTTGATGAAGTGAAATTAAAACGTGCTCTTCTGTTCCCGTTGTTGTCATTGATTGGAGTCATTTCACATTCACTGCAGAGCGGTCAAGGTCACTGCTGGTTTCGACGAGGGCCCAGGCGCCTGTTCAGGAACAACTGACATTAATCTCTTGGTGACACACAGTAAAGAATTGCCGTTGACATGTTAACCCTTCAGGATCCAGTTATCAAAACAGCATGGACACTTGTACTGTGGCAGGCGCCGGCTGAGGGAAAGATGGACCTTTTGTTTAAGCAAAGGGAAATACTAGGGAAGTGCATTTCACATTTGAATTTTAAATACTGCCTGGAAAAATCTAAATACTAAAACAACCTTTTATCTTTCATCAGTGTGAAAAATGTATGATTATATCTCAATTTAGTGTTGCAAGAGAAAATCTGAGAAGCTGTTATTGGAAGATGATTTGGCCCACAGAGAAACAATGATTAAAAGTTAATGTTGCAACAATGTAGTGTGTTCTTGCTCATCACCACAGGATTTGTAAAGATGCATTTCTGCAGGCTGCTAAGTAGAATGTTGCCATAGGAATATGGGCTTGTTTTAGCCCGAGAGAGGGAGAGCAAAAGCAAAGAGAAAGGAGAGGACCACCAGGAAATGCTCTATACATTATCTGAGAGAAAGAGAGAAGACCACACAAGACACAAACAGACACCAACCACCAGAGCCAGTCCCTTTATTGTACACAACACCTCTTTATTTACTCGCCTTTCTAAATCCGTTCATGTTGTTTATTCAAATCAATTAATTGCTACAGAGGCACTTGACAAGGTTTGAAGAAAAAAAAAAAAGTTTGGAGGTTGTTTTCCAATCCCTGTCTTCCAGATCCGAGAGGAGTTGGGTTCGAAGAAAGATGGGTACGTCCATTAGGGAGAAAGGCAGTTTGCTCACAGCCTACTATATGACAAGCCATTTACAGGTTAGCCTTCCCAAGGCCAGGTCTAAGTGACAAGTACAGAGATTTAAACTCTAGACCAATGAATATCTGTTTTAGTTTGTTTAAAATTTGTGTACCATGGGGAGTGTGGAAGATCCATTATTAAAGATCTTCAGTATAAAGACCGGATAGGAATATTTTATTCTTCCTGGTGCTGTCACTGAAAGCCAGACCTTGAGAAAGGAAGAAAAGGCACATTTTGTCTCAAGAAGCAGTGGTTTGGGATCTTGCTGCATTTTTTTTTTTTTAAACAGCTTGTTTGATTTGTCAGTCTGGCTAATTAATCATCTTTCCTTGATGCAGACTACCATCTTAGGGAGCTTCTCTTGACAGGATGTGCCTTTGTAAACCACAAATCCCAGCACCTGATCACCACTACTGATCAAACCAAAAAACAGAAAACAAGTGCCCAATGTAACTCCCAATTTCCCCTTAAAGACTTAAAAATATATATATATATATTTTTATTATGGTCAAATACGTTCAAAGAGCAATCAAAAGATCATCATCAAATAATCACAGCTGAACCAAGTGCACGTCCAAGTTTAGACAGATAATCCCTGTAGCAAAACCCCAAATAACAGTCCAGGCGAAGCTGGGGGGCTGAGTTGAACATACCTGTACAGAGATGATACAATTGCTACCAAAGCATCAAAAGAAATGGGGAAAAAAAAATGCCCAGTTTTTAAATAAAGCACAATGAAATAATCTCTTTTCCCGCCTTTATTGAAGTCTAATCTATGAAATGAGCGTTAGTGCTTTCTTTAATTTGATGACTACCGTTGTATTTTGACATTTTGGGCTTGGATTATGATCGATAGCATGCTTTGTCATGTACCCTATAATAAAATGAGAGATAAGCTAACTCCCCAGAATAGGCCAGCTATATACAAGATCATTTTATGCATGGAAGCATAAGTGAGAAAATTTCCTTGAAAATTAAGCCCAGACAGAGACATAACATCTGATCTATGCTTAATACCACCTTACGCTCTGAATCACTGATCTGTCCACACACCCCTCAGCTTCATCAAGTTTGATCCTCTCCGAGAGAAAACTGTACCGTGTGCGCCGTTCTATTTAAATCCGCTAATCCAGGAATTAACTCTCCTCCAAGGCTGTAGGCCTCACTGAGGTATGACTGAGACTAGAAGGATTAAAATTCAAGACGTGATCATCTCCAAATTAGTGGAGAAAGCTTCCCAGAAAGTGCAGACAGCATCCATCCCACCCCCCCGGACTTTTGTGCATAGTGTTATGGTAACAAGCTACAGCATCCCTGCTATGAGTGGCTTAATGTAAGGCTAGGCGGTTAGAAGTGCTTGGATTATAACGGTCAATGAATAACATTTCATTGAGGAAAATAATTGTTGACAGAGGAACCGAAGCTATTTCTCTCAGTGTCAAACAACCCTGCTCTGTATCTTTTTTTTTTTTCTTTGTTTTTACACTCTGTTGAGATTAAGATTTCATTTTAAAGCTACATGTATAACTGTCATTTAAAAAGGGACAAATTCACTCAAATAAAACAACACAAGTGAAGAAAAAAGAACAGTTATAATAAGCCATTGTTTTTCCAATATGAAATCAGGAGACCCGAGAGAACAGCTGGTTATGGGTGTATATTACAAAGACAAACCCTAGACTTGAACGTCCAGGCTCATTTTGAAGGGGAAAAAAAAGTAGGGGAGGGGAGAGAAAAACCCAGCCTGTACCAGTTAATAACTTAATAAATGTACTTCTGCTGAGAACCTTGCCAGGAAATAAACTGTAAAAGAAATTAACCAGTTATTACATTTAAAAAATATTGAATCTGACACATCATCTCCTAATGACAGAAGCTGAATGCATCTCACAGATGAGCCATTTGTTTTCCTCTTTTAGAGCAGTCAAATGCAATATTCAAGTGGTTAAGGGCTTGCTTTCTTTCCTGCGCATTTATAAACACATTATTAGCAGCTTATTAACATTGCTTGAACAGACATCAATGCTGGATGTTGCATGTTATGCACGACTATCAGTCAGCCCCTCCCCTTGAGCCCCCGCCCTGCCTATATTGTGCAGATACACACATCCACACACAAATACACACACACTTAGGTGGACTTGGCCACAGGTCTAGTCTAGCAGGGAGGGCTCAGCAGGGCGAATAATGGTGGGCCGGTGAGAAGGAGCACCAGGGGGTCTTCGGCTGTAACGAGGAGAGAAAAACCAGGACAAGAAGTGAGATGTGCTCTCAAAGAGGCAGTGAAGAAACCAAACTTCCCAAACAGAAGCAGAAGAGAGAGACGAACGGAAGAAGAGTGACAAAGAGAAACTTGACTCAGGAAAGAATGACGCATACAGAAATAATAGGTATGTATACAGACAAACCACAAACCATGCCTGGAACTCTCGAAAGAAAGACAATGATGTGACGTCAAAGACAAAGTGTTAGAGAGTCTGTGCGACAAAAATCACAGTAACACCTTCAATGCATTGCTGGTCACATCATAAAACTTACCTGGGAATATTGGGAGGGACACGAGCGGGCCGGGAGGGGATCTGTGGGGGTGCACTGAAGGGATCCTGACTGCTATTGAAGGCATTGATGGGCGGGCCTGGGCGGGAGGGGATTGGGGGTGCACCAAAGGCCGGGGAGGGATTGAGTGGTGCTCCAAATGCAGGGGAAGGGTTCAAGGGAGGTCCTGGTGTTGGTCCCCTCACAGCAGGTGGACGGCTGGGGGGTTGGGATGATGTAGGAGTTGGCCTGTGCTGAGTGGTCGGACTGAGAAAAGAAAGTTTAGTGCATGAGAAAAGGAAAGGAAAATGAAAGCCAACACAAAGATCACATGAGTTCTCCTGTGTGATTAGAGAAAGTGTGTTTCAACTATTACATTCACACCCCGTTAACCCTCACCTGGCTTCCTGCATCCAGGAGTCATTTACAGGTGGTGGTACTGGGGTGGAGATTGTGTTGGCACTGATGTCGCCAATAATGACCAGTGCTTCCTTGAGTGCATGATACATGCGCAGCATTTCGTCTCTGCGCTGGGCCTGGTCAGCAGACTCCTCCATGAGGCTGTTCTGATCCCCAGATGAATAGAGGTAGGCCAGAAGCTCTGAGTGGATGAAGTCCTTCGCCTATAAGGACGACATATTAATCAAGACAGAATTTTTAGATATGGAGCAGGAAAATGGCTGTAGTATCTGGTTCCAATTAATAAGATATTATGGGGTTAATACTTACTCATAAAAGAAAAATACGCATAGATCTGGGACCAAAAATATTTGAAAGTCTTGGCAAAGGAGCTGCTTACTAGACAGTCGTGTAGGAGTTTGTTACAAGTGTGTGTATGTGTAGTTGCTGGACTGCTAGAAGATGTCAAAGTAGGCTCGCTAAAATAATAAATCAGAATAAATGGACAGTGGGCAAGTTACTGTGAGGATGCCTCATAAATTCTCTTAATTGCTTCAGGTTTAGGAACTTGTGTCAAAATAAAATGCACGACTAATGCTAATAACAAAAAACAAGAAAACTAAAAACTGTTCTCCATAGTTCTACAGTAAATACACTTAGTACTGTAAGCACAATTAAAGGCTTGTTTTAAGAAAGACAACAATCAACAGAACTAGTTAAAAACATGCTACGTCCTCCCACAGTTCACAGAAATACACTTTGAGTGCGTAGGAGGGATACTGTGTAGAAGCACAATATTTTAGGACATGCAGAGTGTTGCAATAGTACATGCTCTCATTTAAAGTTTAGGTTGAGATACAGCTACTGTTGGCATTTTTCACAGGACATATCCTCACAATTAGGATCCGCTTTAACCAGAAACTGTGCTTGAATGTATTATGCACTGTATGAAGTGGCTGTCATAGAGAATCTGCAGAAAAGAAGCCAATTAAGCTCTAAGTGAAATACAGTGCAGTGTTGCAGTAATAGACCCAGAACATGCAGACATTGTCGGGATATATATTCTTCTCATATTGTTTTTCCGATGGTTGAATAGTGCTGGAAAACACCACACCTTTCAGACATTAAACAGTATGGGTGTGGGCACCAACTGTTTTCTGCAACTATCAATCGATTGAACCCATTTCATGGTGCAACTGCATAACTTTGTAACTTAAATACGCATGTCACTTCCCACAGTATGGCCCACCGCAACATGATCACTGCTCTGTCAGAGAAATTGCACACTGCTATGCCCAACTTATAAACTCTACTTCTAGCATATTTCGAGTCTAGTCAATTACTTTGGTCTGGTGGTGAGAACTGCTGAACTTACGCTGTTGATCATGAGATGCATGATGGTCTTGGGCACAAGATCTCTGATAGATTTGTTTATGATGCCGATGTACGAGTCCACCAGGTTGCGTATGGTTTCCACCTGCCGTTCCAACTGAGGATCCATGGAGAATGTATCTGCAGGGCAAGGCTCTTCATTCTCCTCCTTAACCACAACATCAAAACACAAAACAGCAAAGATGAAGCAGAATTATAGCCTACACACATCTACACATTTGCTTCCTGTAATAGGAGCAGATATGAAAATTCTCCTGAAAATGTAAAGAGAGAAAAAGCGCTGTAGAGTGTTTATAGTTGCAAGTCCAAACTCTGAGCTTGATTATGAATGCTTTCTGGTTCTTTAATGGAAAAGAACCAGTCAAACAGAAATACTTTGTTACATACCTGGTCCTTTTCTGGATAAACTCCAGCCCTGAGGAAAGACGCTTTCCAGCTGTCCACATCGTCCTGAGAATCACATGCCAGTTCTATTTGGCGAAGATCCTTGTACACGTTCCTGTAGAGATAAACAAGTGGCTGTGTGTAGCCTCACTCCAATAAACAAATTCATGCACACACAAGGAAAAGATAGGCCTGCAGGAATACCGGTCAACAAGTACGGGTTTTATTATTAACACGACTGACCTCTGTTCAGTGTTGAAGATTGCAAAGATGTGCTTTGTGGACATAAAGCCTTTCTCAACATCTCTGAGCTTCAGGTTATCCAAGGGAAGCATATACTTCTTTTCTTTTTCCTAGCATGAGAAAAAAAAAAGTTTTTACACACGACACAAAGTAATAATAAACAGGCAAACCTTGAACATATAACAGAGAACAAATAAGGACTTTACACAGTGCTGTAGTGAAATTTTTTAAACCTCTCAATAGTCAAGACATTTCTCATGATGTGAATAACATTTACTGAAATTTACAAAAGCATTGAAAAACAAATAAAATTCAAAAATAAATTTCAGAGTCACGTTTTTAGAAAATGACCGATGGTACTAAAACATATGAAGCTTTCCTCCAAGAAGACTAGCAGAAAAATTATTCAGCAGGTTGGGATTTTATAGAGAGCCTCCTTTGTCCTTAATGGCATCAAATTTTTCTGGTATTCCCCCCAAACTTTGGAGGCCTTTTCAAATTCTAATTTCTCTGTGGGAAACAAAAAAAACTTACTCTTTTTCAGTTCTTCATTTGCTTTCTTTAAATACCACAGAAAATGTTCTCTGTTTGAATATTTCAACTAACTCAAAAATGTTACTTATAGAACTTCTAAATGATTTGATGTGTAACCCCTACATACTATGTAGGGTTGAAGAGCTCTGATTTCAACTGTAGGCTGTAGATGAAAATCACAGAGCGTTGCTCTGATACTTCGACACCAATGAGCAGACATGATGGAATGCATTTCCTCTGTGTGGACGACCACCAGGCTGGTGGGATGAAGAAATGCATGATGAGTGTGAGGAGGAGGAGCATGAGGGAGCTCTAGGGGGATGGGGTGCCAGCTTTCGCTGTTGAGCAAAGACATCTGGAAGCATTTATGTCTGCACAACCACAGAGAGCGGGGTGCAGGCCCAAGAGTTACATCACTCGGTTCCTCATGATCCCCCGCCCTCACGACACATACACACTCGTAAAAAAAGAAAAGAAACAGGGGCTAAGTCTTTAACTGCACGTGCAAAGACAAACAAACAGACAAGCCTGACTAAAGCGAACAAATACATAAAACTGAACTTTGGGCGTGTGCATAACGACGCACTTGCACAGATACACCCAATTCCTAAATCATTTAGGCTGACTCATGTGAACAAGTGTCTACACACATGCACACTTGTACACACAATCACCCCCTCCCTCTGCTCTGGCCCCCGTAACCCAGTACGATTTCCTGCAAATTCCAAAGTCGGATCCCGGCTGGAACATTTCAGCCCGCCTGCCACGTCAGTTTGCCTCCACCATCGTACCGCTCCTTTCTCTTCGACTTTTCACAAAAGGCTACCAACGTGAGGACGCCCTTTCAGTTAACGTTTGTGTGTGTATATATATTTTAAATGATGACTTCTTGCGGCAGTCTTTAGGTGGGCTTTTCCCCCGCGTTTTTAAAAAAAAATAAAAAATCTTGGTGGACGAATGGATACAACTAAGGACGATCAAGTGGGTGAGCAATGTGATGATTTTCTTTATGAATTTCATGTTATTAAAAATATTCAAACTTTCAATTTAGTTAAATCAGTTAAGTCTGATCATTTTAAGTTTATCCATCAAGGCACTCATGCTTCTTGGAGTGAACGTTTGTCTCCTTTCCTTGAATTCGAGACTCAGTACATATCTTTTCTACAAAACATATTGACACTGCTGTTTAGCCAAGAGGGGCTGGCACGAATCACTCGCCTGAGTCATTTTAAACATATTGTTGTAATGGTTAAAATGTTTCATTTAATGTTGCATTTTCACACAAAAAACTTAAATTTTAAGTTTTTTGTTGTTTTAGTAATAAGCAGTTCCTATATACACATGGCTTTTTCTTCATATGTATGATTACTGAAATAATATTTACTCTTTGTGTCCTCTGTCCTGCAGTTGCAGCATGCAGACGTAATGACCTCTGGGTCCTTCCTCCCATCAGAGTCCTTCTCACCCCTCAACCCCCACCTCGCCTGCCCAGTGTTCAGACTACCTGTTCATCAAGCTGCAGCTGAACAGTAGTCTGCACATTGGTTAGGCTAGGCTGGGAAATGACACCAAATCCTCATTTGGGATAGTTTATATTAGCAGCAGCATCTTAACCACACAGCAACTCTTCTCACCTCCTCATTTTTGTACCAGGACAGGGACTCAGCAGTCAGGACAAACCAGTATTCCTTGGAGCCTCCTTTCATGATGCTGATGTTGATGGTTAGCCAGCCTTTCCTGATCACCTGTATGGTCAGGAGAATATGACGGAGAAGGGTTGTAGGGAGAGAGGGGTACCAGGAGGATGGAGGGAAAGCTTTAACAATGAGGTTCCTGCACTGGTGAAATGTGGACCCCATAAGTGCCATTAATTATGGGATTTAACAACAATAAAACCTTACCCGCTTACCTGCTGGGCCTTGGTATGTTTGTGTTTTTTCTTTTTATGTACATATTAAACATTGTACCTAAACAAATCTAATTTACTTAACTAGGTATCACAAAAGAGAATCTGAAAATGCTAAACTATGACAAAATGGAGTGACTAAAGAACAGAAAAACATGCACATTTATCTTGTATATACACATGTAATATAGATGACTATATACAAAAGCATTACAAGGTTGAAAAGAGGGATGTAGGCCTCATTGTCTATAGTCCACAGTAAGGAAATCATTAAACCAAATGGGTCCTGATGGTACCCACAACATGGCTGCTCTGATACAAAGTCAAAAACCAAAGGTCGACGGTGGTATGTTAATGCCAGCGGGTCAGTAAAGCCTAGCCTATGCACTGGAAGTTAGAGAGCAGCATTGTTAATGGGTTTAGCTGAACTTTGAGAAGAGTGTTAATTACTTGATTTTAAAAGAAAGAGGTAAAGAAGGAAAAGTGATTTGTAGCGAAGGAGATTAAACACAGAGCCAAGCAGATGGACGGAGTTAGCAGAGATCACAAGCGGGACAAAAATGTTAAAAGCAAAGAAAAATCTCAAGTGGAGAGCTGGAGAGGGAATCAATTTAGGAAAAGAGTCCATGCATTATGGAGAAACCAGTGTAACCATGGTCTCTCCATTTTCTCACACAGAGCTCCATGCATTTCAAGTGCAGTATGTGAAACTATCTTTGAGAAGTGTGCTTTTTTGCAGACTGCATCTAAGTGGAATGGCCATTTCAAAACCTGCTTTAGACCTCTCTCCTGCACTCCTTTTCCACCCAGGAGAGGACTGGAGTGAGCGATGGGAAATAAAGGTTAATTGGTTCAAAAGCGCCAACATAAACATGGGAGAGGAGTCAGGAATGCAGAAGCTAGTAGTGGTAGTTTGCCTTGGCATGAACATAACGTAACTTTTCAGAGCAATAAAAGGACTTAAATCCAGAGGATTTAAGGCAGGTAGAAATACTGCTTCCTGTTTTAATGTAAGCTTGCATAAGCGATGTGAGGATTTCACAGGTGAGATGTTCTTGTCTCTGTAGTCAGTTAAATCTAAATTTTTGTGATGCAATGGTTAATTAAAGGTGTTAGATTACATCAGAGTCAAAGGAAAGAAATTCATAGGATTGGTGTAAAAAAAAAAAATAATAATAATGACATTTTGAATTTGTCTTGTCAAATAGTAAAAAAGAAAATAAAAATGACCAAAAACCCCAAAACATTTCATTTAATTAAAGAAATCCCAAAGTTATAATCAATCATAGTACAAATACAGCTTTGATTAGTAAGAAGGTATCTTTTAGAATGTAACGAATTTAATCTAACAACCAATCCATAAAGGAAATGAGTAATTATTATTATTATTATTATTTGTTCCACTCTCAATACCCATTTTGTCCCCAGTGACACTTAGGATGATTTCCACAAGGCAAACTTTTGAGTCACCATGCATGAGGCAGCAGCAGAGGTAAAAACCCAAGGACAGGAGAACTGACGCCTCCACGGTTACTGGTGGAAGAGTTTCTTGTTATCTTTCTCTGGTCCTTAACAGAGAGAACAAAGCACTGCGAAGTGCCAAAACCCTTTATGGGCACAAAATAATTCATATCTTTTTCATATCATTCAATAGAGAAAATGTTAGTAGCAACCAAAATGTAGAATTAATGACAATTACTGTCATATTAAAGTGATAAATTACAGAAGTCAATGTGCCGAGTGTTACTCTAAAGATAGTCCAAATTACTGGACTGCGTGCTGATGTCAGAATTGTAATTGATATCACTTTAAGTCAGTCCTGAGACTCTACCTTTTCCTCGTAGACCTCTCCTAGTGCGTCAAGCTGCAGAGAGGTACAACAATTCATTATGATGAAAGTATAAAGTGCTATTTGCTATAGCTAGCTGTTTAAACAGTTATTTCATAGCAGCCTGTTTTTGAACCCTAACTATACCAGCTGACCTTTCTGTGATGGCCTCAGTTCTTCTGCATGAGTTACCCCTACTGCCCCGGGCAGGGTGTGGGTTTGAGGGGTACTTACCAGAATCTCACCCTGCAGTAACAGGAGGGGGGGAGGGGGGAGATTAAAGCAAAAACAAAAAAAAAAAAAAAAAAAAGGGGGGGGGGGGGGGGAAAAAAAAAAAAAAAAAAAAAAAAAAAAAAAGGG